CACTAGTATAGATTTTGGTACCAGGAGTTGCCGGTACTGTTACCTAAAAATGTGGAAGGGGCAGTGGAGGCCAGAAATCAACCAACCTTCCTTCCTTCCTTCCTTCCTTCCTTCCTTCCTTCCTTCCTTCCTTCCTTCCTTCCTTCCTTCCCTCCCTCCCTCCCTCCCTCCCTCCCTCCTTCCTTCCTTCCTTCCTTTCGGAAAGGAGAGGGAGAGATAGAAACATCAATGATGAGAGAGAATCATTGATTGGCTGCCTCCTGCATGCCCTCCATTGGGGATCGAGCCTGCAACCCAGGCATGTGCCCTTGAACAGAATCGAACCCGGGACGCTTCAGTCCGCAGGCCGATGATCTATCCACTAAGTCAAACTGGGCAGGACCAGAAAATTTTTGAGGATTATGGTAGAAAAGACTTAGAAGAATAGATTGTTGCTAGAAATATGGATGTAATGCCTTTGTTAATGAGGGCTCGGGTGGAAGTGGGATATGCATTCATTGGAGACTGGAGGAAAAAGGATCCTTGTTACAAAGTGGCAAATATGCTTAAGAACTGTGTCCTGTGGTTATGTGGAAAAGAAAACTTAATGTGATAAACATGGATATTTGGCTGAGGAGATTTCCACAGAAAAGTCTTAAAAGTGCACCCTGGTTTGTTTGCGGATCTGAGTCTGACTAGGGGAGTGAACCTTTGTGAAATTCATGTAAAGCCTTCTGGGTTCTTGAGGATTTATACTAGCAGAAACAGCTTGGCTTGAAAGAGAGTAGGAAATTAAAGAGGACTGTGAACCCCCTAAATGCTACTAGCAGAAAGCAAGCTGGTAAAACTACTCAGGTATAAATGTGCTGGTTTTTATAAAAAAAAAAAAAAGAAGAAGAAGAAGAAGGGTGGAACCAAGGGCTCAGAGAGCTGAATGCCACTGAGGATTTTTCTCTGGTTTGGAAATGGAATGAATGGAGTTAGCTCAGATTTTGAAACTGCTTTGGACCAATGGATCTGTTTTCTCTTATATTTTCCCTGTTTAGACTAGAATGTCTATAACTGGTGCCCTGTCCCTAACCCCCATTGCATGTTGGGAGCAGATAACTTTTCTTTAAGGAATTGTACGCCAGGGATTGTAGTTAATGTATTATACCCAGAGCCTCATTATACCTAATTTAGATTATGAGTTTTGAGACTATGTTGGGAGGCAAGAGGGTGGGTGTAGTAGATAGAATGACACTCTCCTACCCCCAAAGATGTTCATAACCTCATCCCTGGATTCTGAATTACAGTAACATGTGGCAAAGGGACTTTGCAGATAGGAAATTATTCTATTGCAGATTATCCTGGTTTTTCTGGGTGGGGATTATTTTCTAGAGAACAAAGGCAGCAAAGATTATTCTATAAAGTGATTTGGTCCTGGAAGACTTCACAGAATAATGGGGTTGAATGGAACCTATGCCTCTTTCTTTTTTTAATCCTCACCAGAGGATATTTTTCCATTGATTTTTTTTTTTTTTTTTTTTTTTTTTTTGGAGAGAGGGAAAGACAGAGAGAATTTCAATGTGAGAGAAACACATTGATCCGTTGCCTCCTGCATGTGCCTTGACCAGGGCCCAATCCAGGGAGGAGTCTGCAACCTAGGTAGTCGTCCTTGACTGGAATCAAACCCAGGACTCTTTGGTCCTCAGGCCAACGCTCTATCCACTGAGCCAAACTGGCTAGGGCTTTATGCTTCTTTCTTAATGTTTAAGTGTCCTGTTCCTGGCTTTATATGCAA